CCGCGCCCTCGCCAGTCGAGGGGCCGGGGTCGCGGGCCCTGCGCAGCAGCGTGCGCCTCCCAAGCGAGCACTGCACCGAGGCGTCGCGGCGCGGGTTCACCTGCACACCCACGTCGCGGCTGCTGGCCCTGCGGTGCCGCGGGGCGAGGCCGGGGCTCACCTGAGACAGGAGGGCCATAAGCTGCGCCCGCTGGTAGCTGTCGAAGTACTCGGCGGCCATCAGGTGTCCGTAGCCGGGGAAAGACATCGAGGCCGCCCCCGCCGAGGAGGAGGAAGCGGGAAAGTAGCCCCTGCTGCGGTGCCGCCACCCGCCCCCACCCGCCGTGACCTTGCCCTTGGCGGCGGGTGGGTAGGGGTACGAGTACGAGTATGGGGTGCACGCCGGATACATGTAACTGTCCAGCACTTCGTCTTCTGGGGCAGCCATAAGCACAGCCGCAGCTGCTCGCGCCCGCCGCGCCCTAAGTAGGCGGCCTTGCGGGGGCGGCCGCGGAGGCGTGAACGGCCCTCGACCCCGGGCCCCCGCCCCAAGGCCGCTCGCAGCGCCGCGCTGCCCTCCGCGCCCTACCTGCCTCCGGCTTTTTCCCCGCGTCCCGGCTGAGGGGGCCCTCCGCGACCCTCTCCACGTGGAAATTCTCCACACCAGGAAGTCAGCACAAATACCGTTAGGTGATCTGGAAAGAGGGTTTTCTTTGGGATGAAAGAACTGATTTGCAAGTGAACTCGTCTGAGGTGATTTGGCTGCCAACAAGAGAACCATCACCAGGATTAGCTGCGCCAGGTGGTGCCCACACCCTGATTGTTCCAGGTGTCTGCGCCGCCCGGGAAGCTGAGGCGAGGCGGGGTGCCTCTCGGTGAGAATACGACCGTTTGGGGAACTGTTTTGGGTCTCTTAGCTATGATTTCAGGGTATAGTGTATCTCAGAGCGACCCTTTGAAATCTTTCCGTAAGTGTATGGGGAAGCATTCTAGAGCATCCATATTTAGGCTAATTGTTTTCTTCCCTGGGGCATGTTCCCCCCCTCCCCCACAAATGGTGACCGGGAGTACTGTTGAGTGACGGCTATTGCTCCTCTCAAAACCAAAACCCACTGCCACCGAGTCGATTCCGACTCCTAGTGACCCCATAGGGGTTCCAAGGCTGTAAATCTTACGGAGGCAGGCTGGCACCTTTCGGTTAGCAGTCAAGTTTTAACCACTGCGTCAGCAGGGCTCCTTTTCTCCTCTCCAGGGATAGTAAAAACCAAACCAAACCTGTTGCCATGAGTCCATTCTGACTCATAGGACCCTATAGGGCAGAGTAAAACCGCCCTCATCGGGTTTCCAAGGGGCGGCTAGTGGATTTGAACTGCCGACCTTTTGGTTAGCAGCCGAGCTCTTATCCACTACGGCACCAGGGCTCCACGTTCTCTAAATTTTCCTAACCAGACTATCCCGCCAACAGATAAATTGATTTGGGGTGTGTTTACGTAAATACTGAAGACCAAGCTAGTCCCCGCTTCGACAAAAAATGCTTTGTCCACTGGAAAAAAAGTTGGCTGTTCATTATCAGTAGATATAAGATCAAGTAAACAAAGACGTTAATATAATTTTTCTCTGATTTGATACAGTTTTGACAATAAGATGCTATACTCTGTTTCATTGTTTAATTGACCTGTTTGGGGATTTCTCTGCATACAGGTCAAAATCAGCATTGTCAGGTATTTATAAATTGAGCAGAATACACTTTTATACAATTACATTAAACTCAATTATGCTTTACAAATATAGGCTGTTTTTACTCATATAAGATAATGCACCAAAATTCTACATTTCCAACACCCTGTTTTCTAATAGTTCACATATTTGAAACAGTCATAGAAATTGGTAAAGGTGAAAACCAAAAAGCACAGTTAACTAGCTCAGGCTTCACTTTAATGGTCCCAGGTGCAGGTTATATTACGACATTGATTTGTATAATGTGAAAATGCTTGGTTAATACACCAATGCAACCTTAAAATGGGAACATCATAATTATTACAAGTATGATAATGCAAACCAATTTTATCCTTTATGTAAACCAATACAGTACCACAGACCATAAATATGAAGTAATGTGTCAGCCAGATAGAAGCTTTCATGTATCTCCATGTTTAGAGAGAAGTCTGGGTAGTCTCCACCATTATTAAATTATCTGTGTTCACTGTGCCATAGGAAGTGTCTGCCATTTCCTCTTCTTTTAGTTTCTTATAAGAAATATCTGTATCTTCATCTTCATCTAAAGGATCTCGCTTGTGCAATATTTCACTTCCATACATTTTATATATTAGAACAAAAATTCCTGCTTCTGCAGACTGGAAAAGGGCATAAAGCAAGGGAAACATGTACATACTTCCTATAAATTGTGGTGAAAAGGCCAGTTTTAGAATGGCAGTACAGAGCTGCACGTTCTGACTACCTGTTTCCAGACACACAGTCCTCTTGCAGTTGGGTGGAAGGTGGAAGAGAGTAGCTAAGCCATAGCCTGATGCATAGCCTGCTAAAGGCATAAAAATTGCTATCACATAAACAGCTGCAGGAATACTTGCCAGCAGTTCAGGTCCTAACATAGTGCCGGTCATTATGAAAAGGACCACCAGAGTCACTAGCAGAGACCACAGGGAAACCTAGTAATAGAAAATGGATAGACAAGCCATCAAAAGTAAGATAGTTCAAAAAGAATTCATGTAAGAGAATCACAGTTTCTTGGAAGAGACCTCTCACACAAAACGGAGATACTGGCCCTAAAATGTTTTTGACAGAGTATTTCTGAAGATGAGGTCACCTCCTGAAGGCATCCAGATCCATGTCGAGCAGCTCTAATAGTTAGGAGGCCTATCCTTATGTCTAGTGACAATTTGCCTTCTATAACCTCTAGCCATTGTCTTGGATATGCCCTCAGGAGCAACACAAACCAGTCTACTCTTTCTGAAAAACAGTTCTTCAGGAACATTAACTTTTCTCCAGATTGTCCCCAGACTTTCAGCCTCCATCATATAACTTTGTTTTGGAGTCCTGACTACTGTGAGAGTATGTTTAATTTGTGAATGTACCTCTCAAAACAGATCAGTCAGTATCAAGCCCAATATCCCAGGTATGTTCTGATGAACACAGTGGTCAAGGGGACTTTTGTTTTCCCTGAACAGAACCCCATGTTTCCCATAAGAAATTAGTTCTGGATTTGCACATGACAGGGTGTAGTTGCTATAAATTTTGTGAAACGTGGTGTGTGATATATTTAATCTTCAAAATACTTTATACTGCAGAGGATTGTTTGCAACATTGAAACAATTGCCATTTCTTTTATCACGTTGTTGTTGTTACCTGCCATGGAGTCGGTTCCAACTCATAACGACCCCATGGACTACAGAACGAAATTAGATCATGTAAGAGAGGTTTGCAAGATTGCAAAGAATTTCTCACATCTTACATTTATACTTTTTCCTTTTAGACCACGTAAGAGGAAAAAATGTAAGATGTGAGAAATTCTTTGCAATTTTGCAAACCCCCCCCCCCCTTTTTTCCATCTGTTCATAAGAAACCTCCCACCTGTAAGTCTCTAGTGATGCTTAGGAATTATTATTTTTTTTAAAAAAAACTGTTGCCGTCAAGTCAATTCCAACTCGTAGCAACCCTATAGGACAGAGTAGAACTACCCCATAGGGTTTTCCAAGGAGCGGCTGGTGGATTCGAACTGCTGACCTGTTCGTTAGCAGCTGTAGCACTTAATCACTGGGCCACCAGGGCTCCAGAGGAATTATTATAAGAGGTGGATTTTAGATATATTACAGCTGATTCTGTATAAAACAGTGTGTCATCCTGATGGTCTGGCACATTTCACTCATTCAAGTAAACTGGCTGTTGTGTAAAATAGTTCTTCAGATTGGTAGTTACCTTGTTTCTAAAAATGGGGGGAGGTAGGAGAGAGAATGAGAAATCAAGAGAGAACTTCAGTTTTGCTTCTAGTTCTCTGGATATCTGTGAGGAAACTCTTTGAGTCTGTGGGATTTGCATATGTTTTCTATTCTTTTTAAATATACATGTTTATAATTTATCTGGGCTGGTCAAAATTCTACCCAAGCAGATGCTGAAATAATTATTATATAAGTTAGTTATACTACAAATGTGCAGTTGGCAGAAACCAGACTATTCTAAATCAAAACTCTTATTAAGTTTCAAAATGTGTCCACGCTGAAAGCATTGAGAGGAAATCTGTGATTCTTCATTTTGCAAATATTGGCTCCAGAGTTTCCTTTTATTTTAAATCATTTCGGTGAGCACTGATATTGAATGTTCACTTTAAAGTGTTTGTAAAAGCATAACAATGTTATAAATCATGTTTTAGTAGTAATAGTGTGCTGGTTAAGGACTAAGAATAGGTTCACCTTAAACTCAAAGTCAGCCGAACTTACAAATTGTATTTTAATGTATTTATTCAGTTTTTAGCATGTAAGTAACTCATTTGATTGACTTTGTCTTAGAATTCTTAAGATCTTAAAGTAAATGCCATCACATTAATAGTATTAGCTTAATGATTAAGCTTAATAAATTCTTTAATGCATATCAAGATTATCCATGGATACATTATATATAAACATATAAACCGTTGCCAAACCCGTTGCCATTGAGTCTATTCCAACTCATCCCAACCCTATAGGACAGAGTAGAACTGCCCCATAGGGTTTCCAAGGCTCAGCCTTTATGGAAGCAGACTACCACATCTTTCTCCTGTGGAGCAGCTGATGGGTTCAAACTGCCACCCTTTCAGTTAGCAGCCAAGCACTGTAACCACTGTACCATCAGGGCTTTTTATACATACATATACATTTATACTCATTAAAAAGCCATTGCTGTCAAGTCGATTCCAATTCATAGCAACCCTGTAGGACCGAGTAGAACTGCCCCATAGAGCTTCAGGGAGCGGCTGGTGGATTTGACTGCTGACTTTTTGATTAGCAGCTGATCTCTTAACTATACTTATTACATTCACAATATATATGTTTATTACAAAATACGTTTTATTTTTTATTCAGGACTGGATATGTGTACAGAAAAAAAAAACCCTCTATAATCCTGTATAATAAAATTACTTTGGACAATAAATTAATATAAGTAAAACAAAAATTATATCTTCTTAAATCTACACAATTGAAATAGTGGAGTGGCTCTTATCCTCTTCATTTGTCTTAAGGAATTTGCCTGTGCATTTTACAGTAATTAGTTATGCACTTTATCTGACTAATTTCCTAAGATGAGAATCCTGTTCATGATTTACTCTTATTTATGACTATTTTTGAGTTCTCAAAGAAAGTTTAATTTACATATATTTAACATTTTCTCCAACTATTAGAAAATCTCTACTGCTATAAAAATATCAGGTTTTGAAAATAAAGCAGTATTGAAAATACTGCAGAAAATAATATAAATCCTGCATCCTTTCACTAGCTTTAGAAATCATATAAAATGCTACAATGGGGAAGGAAAAAGAAACACACAAATTTAGTAATGGCAATATAATCTACATCTTTACCCAGGACCCATTTTATTTTGTGTTCTGAGGCAAATATTTTGTGTATCCGATCTGATAGCCACAATTTAACTTTTCAATTACTTTAGCCTTATTAGTGTTCAGATTTATTTTTAGAAAAATTTTAAAACAAAGTTATTACAGGGTTTCTTACAATTAGAGTTCTGCTTTTAAAAATATAGTAATGTATTTCTAAAATATTGCACAAATTCTATTAAAATAATTTTATTTAATCGGCTTTGATTTTTACTGTTTGTTAGTGGAAAATATGTTGCCACTTAAAAGCATTGCTATCTTCCTCCACCCCCCCCCTTGTCTGTTTTCTCCCCAAAAGTACTGGTTGTTTATTTCTACTGTTTTTAATTAAATCTATCATTTTAGGAATTCAAAAAAGTGGTTATCTTTGCTGCATAAACTTTTTTTTAAAGTTTATCTATGCAAGTGCTGCCAACCCCTTTTCCTCCTTCCCCCTCTTTTCCAATCTGCTTAGCATTTCGGAAATGAACAGAGACCAAAGACTCTAAGAGAGACAAGGTATATCAATGAAAGAGTGGCCTTACCTTCACAATGTAGTCAGCCACCCGGCTGTATTTGTAGCGAATGAAGACACCCAACCCAATAGGGATGAGGGTGCTGCACAGAGTCAGGGTCACTGCTCCTAGAGGTAGTAACTGCACAAGAGGAGTGTTGATCCACGCTCGGCTGTAGATCCACAGGCACAAAGGCATCAAGAATAGGGCCAGAAGTGTGGAGGAGATGGTCATGATGATGCTGCAGAAGGGGAATGAGTAGAAGTCAGAACTGGCTTTCAACCCAAGAGCCAGCCAACTTTTTTCTTGAACATTGGGCAGAGAGGGGAAGGGAGACTGCCAGGTCCCTGGGGTTGAAGCCTGGGGAGGACCTACTTCATCGGATGGGAGTGCCAAGAGAGCACTTCTAAACCCAACTGAAACGATAAACCTGAGGCAGGAGAAAATATCACCTCATGACCGCTGCCCCTGGCTTTAAAATATCTACTGAACTGAGTACAGTCTGGATGATTCTGAGTGCAAGGAGCATTTTTTTCTTTTTTAATTCTCCAAAGTACCCTGCAATGTTAAGACATATTAAAGCTGCTGGGTACTACTTGTTGGATTGAACTGAATTATATTGTACTCTATATGAGATTACTTTCTTTATTGGAGCCAATAGCCCTATTATGCTTTTCCATTTCCGGTCTGACTTCCCCATTCCCTTTGTCTTCCAGCGGCCCAAGGCCTGCACTGGGAGCCTACCACTTAGAGAGGGAGGTGGGTCAGCTGAAAGGCTCGAGCTGTGGATGAAACCCCAAGACCCTCAGAGCAGCTCAGTCTGTGTCTAGAGCTTTCCCTCTGCAACCTGTCAACGTCTCTCCTTTCTTCTAAAGCCCAGGCATCGAGATTTCCTTCACTTTTTTCTTCCCTCTTCCATGCCTCATTCTACCCATCTCTACTTCCTGTCTCCTTGGTCTTGAACCCATGGCTGTGAATGCGGTTGGCTAGGATAAGAATGATCCTAAAGAACAGAGAGATCAGTACCTGAGGTTCATGTCGCCGTCAACCAGCAGGGACATAAGATTGGAGAGATTTCCACCGGGACAGCAGCCACACAGGAGCACCGCCACAGCGGCCACCTCGTCCAGCTTGAAGGTGAGGGCCAGCAGGAAGGCCAGCAGCGGCAGGATGCCGAACTGGCAGAGCGCAGCCAACAGCGTGCCCACGGGCCGGCGGACGTGCGCTCCAAAGTGGTTCACGTCCACCGTGCAACCCAAGCCCAGCATGGTGATGCACAGGGCGGCGCCAACGAACACGTTCAGCCCGTGGTTCAGCGGTGTGTCCCAGAAAGGGGTGTCGTGGGAGGCCCAGAGCTGAGGGAATGAGGACGGACCCTGGCTCCCCGCGCCGCCTGCGAAGCTGCTGGACGTCGGCTCTGGGGTCGGAGTAGGGCCGGGGCTGAAGCTGATGCTTGGCCTCGGCCCGAGACCGAGCTCCGGGCTGGGGCCGGGGCTAGAGGCAGGAGCAAGGTGGAAGTCCAGGCCGGGGCTCAGGCTGCTGGTATTGGGTGACAGGGTGTAGTTGTCCGGCTGCAGAGAGGATAGCTCAAAGAACTGGGTTGTATTGTCGGTGCCGTCCATGGCGCTGTCGGCGGGAGCCGGAGGTCTAGCTCCCGTTCGCGCCAAGGATTCCTGTCCCCTCGCGCCGCGCACGCCTCCTCTGTCCTTACTGTCCCCACCGCTGTCCGTCCGTCGGTCGGTCCACAGCCTCACTGCCCCGCCGGTTCTGTTCCCAGCCTCAGCCTCGCGCCGCTGGCGTCCTCGGCGTCGTCGGGTTCGCTGGGTCCGCGCTCTGCGCCCCCAGCCCAGGTCTGTCTACGCCGCTGGCTGGCACTTAAGAAAGCGCACACCCTGCGGGTGAGCCCAATCGCTGGCGTCGGCACTCGGCCCCCAGCGTGGGCAGGCCCCGCCCCTCGCAGAGGCCAGCGCCAGCGGCTTGAAGGCCCCTCCTTTTAATCACCAGTAAGTGGTTCTGTTAGAGTGTCGCCAGGGGCAGAACAAAGACCTGACAAAGGGAAAGAAGGCAAAACCGTGGGTGGTTGCTTATCAAGTTATCTGAGGGGCTCTGCTGCTTTGATGAAATCTAGAGGCTCAGACTCATAGGGACAAAAAAAAAAAAAACCCTATGTGTGCACTCACGTAAACAATACAAATTGTTTAAATAGCCTGTGACCCTTGAGCATCAGGAGGAGTGCCTGACTTAATGTGAAGGATTCTCTGAGTGAAAGACACAATATCTGGCTTTAATCTTCAAACAATTTTTTTTTAATGAGATTTATATGTTTAATCTTCAAGTAGAAAGTGGTATTAGCGCTAGTGGTTTTTGAGCCAGGTCCTGTGCAAGCGTGTGTGCATTCTTGCATTTGATTTTTCACAGCAAAGCGGCAAGATAAATGGTATTATTAGTTTGATTTTTACAAATGAGGAATCTGAGGCACAGGGACGTCTCAGCCTCACCAACCAAACCCACAAGTACCTGGCTGAACGTGCACGATGATATGTGGTTAAAGAGTGCAGTGAAGAGCTCTGCTTAGATAAATCTCCATGAAAAATGTGTTTTTAGGAAGTTATTGGCAGGTGGAGAGAGGATATTTCGCTAGCCATAGATTTATGAAGTTCTGGCATTAGACTTAAAGGACTAAAAAGAAATAAAGTGGTAGGATTTCCTGCTTCAGACAGGTTTATCCTCAAACAGATCAAATTCAGAGTTCTTAGGAATGGAGAAAAAGGGAGGCCCAGTGATCTTCTTCAGAAAAATCAGCCAGTGAAAACCTACGGATCACAGCAGTCTGGACCGGGCAGCATTTCCATCCTTTGTGTATGGGGTTGCCATGAGTCAGGGCCACTTGAGGCAGCTAACAACAACAACTGGAATGGAGACTCAACAACTCTAAGTCAGTCAGCTTGATGCATATACAAATGAAAGGAACCCCTCTACAAACCAACTTGTGTGGCAGCCAAGCCACTGGAGTAGCCTGTCTGGCTCTCCATCAACCTAGATCTCATTAGCAGTGACTATGAAGTGATAGCCAGTTGAGTTGTTAAGGCCAATGTTGGAATTTCTAGCGTAAAATCAGGGATCACCTCTAGCCCAGGGTTACCCCGGAGTCAAACCAAGCTCTTAGAGTGATTTCTTCTTCCAGTGGATCTGTCCCTACCCCCTTTCCTGACACCTGACAGGACTGGGTGACTTCCATTTCCCACTGGTGGGCTGATCCCATGATTTTACATTTCCTCCCTCCACAAACCTCATGGAAATGACAGAAGAGCTGAAAAATAAGACTAAATCCACTGTATGTTGTGTGCTTAACTAATAAAAAATAATTTATTTCTTCTCCAATAGACTAATTCCATGAGGGAAGAAGATGTATAAGTATTTAGGGGAATAAGGTACCCTTACAGTTCTTACGCTTGGCTGCTAATTGAAAGATTGGCAGTTCAAGTCTATCCAGAAGTGCCTTGGAAGACAGGCCTGGCAATCTACTTCTGAAAAATCAGCCATTGAAAACTCTAGGGAGCACAGTTCTACTCTCAGACACATGAGGTCACATGAGTCAGAGTTGGCTCAACAGCAACTGGTACTGGGTACCACGTCTCCAAAACATTAAACCCCAGAAAACAATATAGTAATGTCCACCACAAAGCTTTGAAGGAGGTGGATTATGACCAAAAATATTCTAATTTTCATTTAAGTGTATGCAGGCAAAAAAAAAAAAAAAAAAAGATATTCAGGTATAGGAGGGAATGTGCTACCCGAATACTTGTATTAAGTGAGTAAATCCAGGAGAGACCTGAAGAAAACAGGCAAGATAAGGAGGAAGCATTGCTGAGCTTTTATGGTCTTAAAACACAGGATGAGCTAAGCCAAGAACACAAATGGCAGTGGATCCAGCTGAAGCCCAACTGGGCAGGCACCACTCCTGTTTACCTTCGTTCAGTTACATTTGCCTGAGAACGCCTCCTGGTGTTAATGATATTAAAATCCACAATCAAATTAAATAAGCAGTAATTAGAGGCAGACAAAGTCTTCCAACTAGCTCCTCTAGGAGTCTGGGGAGGGATTTGGGAGGCAATTTGTGCAATGGATAAAGGATGAAAACAGAAAGGTATGGGCTTGGATTGTAAATAAGCAGGATTGCACTAAACCTGCCATTGTGAGCCCTTCTTGTGCCCTGCAGACCTGTTGTCTCTCCTGCTGATGAGATCAGTGTCAATGTAAACAAGGCAGGTGCACTTGCTGCCTCTCTTCTTTCTAATCTTCACTGTTTAGGAGAAAACCCCAGGATTAGGGTTATTGAGTTTATTCTTCAGGTGTGGTGACAATAGTAGATTGGCTTGGGTCACCTGGCTTCCTTGATTGCTTTCCCTTACTCTTGCTGCCACCAAGGAGTGTCTAGCCTATCCAGAGGGGAGAAAATATGTAGAAGCGAGAGTTCTCAAAATACTACTCAGGGCGTGATTCAGTGGTAGAATTCTCGCCTCACTCAGGTTCAGCTCCTGACCGAGGCACTTCATGCATAGCTCTCACCCATCTGTCAGAGGAGGCTTGCGTGCTGCTATGATGCTGAACAGGTTTCAGCAGAGTTTCCAGACTAAGATGGACTAGGAAGGAAGGCCTGGTGATCTACTTCTAAAAATCAGCCAATGAAAACCCTATGGAACAAAACAGTTTGTTCCCTGACCGATCATGGGTGTGGCGCAGGACCTGGCAGCATTTCTTTCCCTTGCAAATGGGGTCACCCTGAGTCAGGAATAGACTCCGCAGCAGCTAACAACAACATTAGGGGGAAAATTTAGAGCCCTGTGTCAAACCATACTCTAAAACTAATTATATGTAGATTCAAAAACTAAAGAGGTTTCTGAGTGGCACAAATGGTCTGTACTCAACTACTAACCTAAAGGTTGGTGGTTCAGATGCACTCAGCAGCCCTGCAGAAGAAAAGCCTGGTGATCTTCTGTGGAGATTATAGCCAAGAAAACCCTATGGAGCAGTTCTACTCTGTAACACATGGGGTCGCCATGAGTCAGGTTCTACTCAACAGGCAATGGTTTGAAACAGTTAAATATAGTAATAAAAAGAGCCATTAAAAAAAAAAAAAACCATTGCCGTCAAGTGGATTCCGATTCATAGTTGACCCTATAGGACAGAGTAGAACTGCCCCATAGGGTTTCCAATGAGCAGCTGGTGGATTTGAACCACCAACCTTTTGTTTAGCAGCCCAGCTGTTAACCAGGGAACCACCAGGGCTCCACCACAAAATAGTGGAGAAAAATATTGGATGAGGAAATTTGTTCTAAGTAAAAAGCAATGGAAGAACTCATAACAGGAATCTCAGTATATTTAGCTACATAAAAGTTATAAACTTGGCTGTTGAAAAAATTAAAAGCAAATTACAACATGAGAAAAATATTTTTAACATATATGAAACCAAGAGCAAATATCCTTCATTTATAAAGCAGTTTTAGAAATTAATATGAACAATCAACACAACAGAAAAATAAGCAAATGATATGAATAGACCCAAGAACACAAAAAGGAATTCAAATAGCCAATAAACATTAAAAAAATTCATATTCACTAGTAAGCAAAGAAATTAAAGCAATTAGATACCTTTTTTTCCCTCACTACTCATAAAGATTCAAATACATGATATAGGGGCAAGGATACAATCAACCAGGTACTCTCTCACCTTGCTTGTGAGGACTTCTTTTGTAGAAAGTAACTTGATAACAGATGACAATAACCTTAAGAATATGCACATTCTTTGACCCGGTAATTCTATATATAGGTGTCTATCCTAAGAATGGAGACCTGGTTGCACAGTGGTTAAGCATTTGGCTGCTAACCAGAAGGTTAGCAGTTCAAATCCACCAGCCGCTCCTTGGAAACCCTGTGAGGCAGTTCTACTCTGTGCAATAGGGTCGCTATGAGTCAGAATCAACTCAACGGCAACATATCTGGTTTTTTGGTATCCTAAGTATAGTCAATTAATTTTAAAAAGAGAGAGAGAGCTATATTAATTGAGCATTACTATGGGCCAGATAATCTTCTGAACCTTTGGATGAATCATCTCATTTGATCTTTACTATAAGCTGAGGTAAGTCACTCAACTACTAGGGATAGAGCCAGAATTCAAACCCAAGTTTTCAGTTCCAAAGCCTGCACCCTAAGCCAAATTCTATTTACACAAACCTACAAGACAGTTAAATAAATTAGAGTGCATTAACACAGTAGACTGCTATGCAAAACATTAAGTATCGTGGTTTACAACTGGGGTTCTTAATCTGGAGTCCATGAATGAAATTTTAAGACACTGAGAACCTCCTGAAATGATGTATCAACTCTTCTGTGTATGTGCTTTCTTTTTTTTCTCCCCTGGGAAGTAGATCTATGTCCTCCCTTAGATTCCTAAAAGGGTCAGAGACCCATTAAGAGGAATATATAATGGCAAGGGGAAAATGCTCATGACGTAACCTTAAATGACAAAAAGTTAAAAATCTATAAATACATTTACATGCTATTAAATATTTTCAATATATATATGCTTGAAGGGAATTTCACCAATGTTTATTATATCTAAGTGGTAGTATTAAAAGTGATTTTACTATAGATTCAACACAATCTTGATCAAAATTCCAACAGCCTTCTTTACAGAAATGAAAAAACCAATCCTCAACTTTA